CACAAGCTCCAAACTCACGAATCGCCGCTAGTAGCCGAACGCATATATCTCCCAAGCGGCTAATAATCCCATCCAGCAGTCTCTAGTCGTCGGTAATAAATCCCTCCAATAACAAGACCAAGCTCCGCATTGAGGGTAAAACATGAACTGGGTTTACTGTGGGCTACTTGCCCGTATTTATGCAGGTCTCCCACTTGGTGGACACTCCCCTAGGGGACCAAATGGGAGACTGTAATAGCAGACAGACATATGGCATGTTAGGACACACAGGCACAGAATATTCCCAGCATGCATCATGGTTTCCTCCCCTCTGCCCTGGAGATAATTGAGAAGTAATTCAATTATCTCCCAGGACAGAGGCAAATCGCCATTTTAAATATAACACAAAAAACACATAAAAATACATAACTTTATAATTGTCGAACATTTCTCATTCGTATCACATATTCCCAGATACCCTGGATCTGAGTGCATATTATTGGCGAATAGCGCTCAGATCCCAAACGCATAGTTCAATCGCCATGGAGTCAAAATCTATTACGGTCTTTTGGTATGCGATTGACTCCATGGGAAGGCTATCTGGATTAAGTCCATTCATGCGTTTTAAACTCCCGAACGGCCAGTGTTCGCACACTTCTGTCGATTGAGAAGGGAGGTCGGTGGCTTCAGCGGTGTTCGGCGGAAAAAGTGTCCGTTTTCAGTTCCATAGAATCTGGGCCGAACACCGCTGGTCTTTCGCTTGTTTAAAATCGCCGCCGCCTCATGGTCGACATACGAACGACGACCACCCTGCATTCGGTTTTAATTGAGAAGTGTCTGCGGTTAACCACAACATTTTAATTGGGATCAAGAGTTTAACCAGCAGCACACTTCTCTTCTGGGTGGCCATCCGTTCGGTAGTTTTGTTCAGCAAAAAACTTCAATTATACGAACAGAGGCATACAAATGTGTAATTCCATTAAAAAGGCAAAACAGACGAACCAGTAATCCCAGTCTATACAGATGGATTTGTCACAGGTGCCAAAAATAGAACCCGCCCTGGGTGCCAAATGCTCTAGGTACACCCCTGTGTGTAGTGTCAACGTGTATCACTGTTTGTGTGTAGTGTCAGCGTCACTGTCTCTCTGTGTAGTGTCAGCTTGTATCACTGTTTCTCTGTGTAAAGTCAGCATGTATCACAATTTCTCTATATGCCGTGTCAGCATGTAACTGAGTTTTTGTGTGTAGTGTCTCTGTGTGCAGTGTCCGTTTGTATCAGTTTCTGTGTGTAGTATCAGTGTGTATTGCAGTTTCTGTGTCAGCAATGTCAGCATGTATCAGAGATTCTGTGTGTAGTGTCAGTTTTTGTCACAGTTTCTCTGTGTGTAGTGTCAGTGTGTGATAGAACATTTTTTTTATGCTTCTTAATTTTCAACATGTTGGTGAATAAGCCCCTGGACCAGGGATAAGCAACCTTCGTCACTCCAGATGTTGTGGACTACATACCCTCTTACACCCATAATGCTGGAAAAGCATCATGGGAGGTGTAGTCAGAAACATCTGGAGTGCCGAAGGTTGCCTATGCCTGCCCTAGACTAACAAGCTAAGTTCTGTTCATCTTAGACAGGGCGTTGGCTGTACATTCCTATACATTGGTATCCTTTTTAATGTCCCTCCTGAGACTGTATAATAATAACCAGTGTGATAATCCTCGCCCCCCTCAGACAGTGTGATAATCCCATGCTTAACCAGTGTGAAAACTACACCCCTCCCGAGACAGTATGAGAATAACCAGTGTTAGTCCCTCGCCCCCTCAGGCAATGTGATAGCATCACTGCCCCCACAGTGCTATAATTACCCCCTGTCCATCTAGTGTTATAATCACTGCCCCCCAGAGTGTGTTATCTTCAGACCAGCCACTGTGATAATCATCAACCATAACCTGCTGTCTAACCGGCGTGATAATTATCAAATCCCCTCCAGAGCGTGAGTGTACCCTGAGTACAACTTACTAACCTCCCCTCTCATTAGCCTTGACTGTCACACCTCTATTGGCCTCATATAGCACAGATGCTGGCTGAACTCCGCTTATTATGATATATCATTGGAGATTGTGAAATCTAACAGCCCCGTCATATAGATAAACCGTATCAGTGCT